ATATTTTAAATTTGCAAGAAAATACTGAATTTCATTTTCATTTATGTTTGAAAAAAAAACTATGCTTACATAGGAAAGGCTGGGTCAGATTTTAGTTGCTGGATCCTGCAGGTGCTGAACATTTGGCACCTTATGTACACCACTATACTGGGAGCACTTCTTTGACATACACACACACAAAACTATTTCTTTGTTTTGCTGGTTTTAAGCTGGCTTGTGATACTGTTCAAATAACCTTATATGAGATGACTCTGTATCCTAATATATGAAAAACGTATAGGGAAACTGCCTCAGCCCACTCTGCTGTATGGCACTTTGTAAGCGTGGCCCTACTAAAAGGTAGACACATTGAATTACACTATTGGGTTGATTTACTAAAAATGATGAGTGCAAAATCTGGTGCAGCTGTGCATGGTAGCCAATCAGCTTCTAAGTTCAGCTTGTTCAATTAAGCTTTGACAAAAAAAAAACCTGGAAGTTGATTGGTTTCTATGAGTGCTGCACCAGATTTGCACTCACCAGTTTTAATAAATCAACCCCTATGTAACAATAATATATGATAATGAAAAAAAAAAAAACAGAATGAGGTTATGATGCAGCTAATTAACACATTGGATTTGTTGTTACACGAGTCACTTTTCACTACCGACTGTTTCTCTTCAACTTGCACAGCAAAGTCAATTAGGTCAAAGAAGGTATCTCTTGATGCAAAAGAATGAAAATTGTATGTAACAAATTTAATTAAATCATTCCCAGTCTGGTGAGGATCCTATCCAGTCATATTCAATATGGTGCAGGGTTTGGGATTAAAAATGCAAAGGGTCCACAGGAGTAAGGGAGTTACTAATAAACTGTAATATTAAAATCATATAATAACAAAACATCCAGGAAAAGAATTGTTGGAAGGACAAGAGAGTGACCTGGAGGCCATCAATGTCTCTGAATGTGGGCGTTTACTAAGACTATAAGTGTATACATTAGGATAACTGCTTGACTACCAAGCTTAATGAAAAGAGACAAAGCAGTTTACACCTAACTCAGTGACCATTCAATCTTCAAAGCGAAATCTTCAATGAATCAATTTTACAGCCTTTTCTGAATAATTGGATAAGATTCACAATGAAATCTGGTAGTTGGGTTTTAAGAGGTTTATTTTTAGACTGAATGTTGTCTACACTATATCGCCAAAAGTACTGGGAAACCTGCCTTTACACGCACATGAACTCTAATGGCATCCCAATCTTAGTGCATTGGGTTCAATATTGAGTTGACCCACCCTTTGCAGCTATAACAGCTTCAACTCTTCTTGGAAGTCTGTCCACAAGGTTTAGAAGTGTGTCTATGGGAATGTTTCACCATTCTTCCAGAAGTGCATTTTTGAGGTCAGGCACTTGCTTACAGTCTCCGCTCTAATTCATCCCAAAGGTGTTCTATTGCGTTTAGGTCAGGACTTTGTGCCGGCCAGTCAAGTTTCTCCACCCCAAACTCACTCATCCATGTCTTTATGGACTTTGCTTGTGCACTGCTGTGCAGTCATGTTGAGACAAGGTTGGGAGCATGAAATTGTCCAATATGTCTTGGTATACTGACGCCTTAAGAGTTCCCTTCCCTTCAAGCCCAACCCCTTAAAAACAACCCCACACTATAACCCCCCCTCCACCAAGCTTTACACTAGGCACAATGCAGTCAGGCAAGTAAAGTTCTCCTGGCAGCCACCAAACCTAGACACGTCCATTGGTTTGCCAGACAGAGAAGGGTGATTTGTCACTCTAGAGAACATGTCTCCACTGCTCTAGAGTCCAGTGGTGGCGTGCTTTACATCACTGCATCTGCCACTTTGCATTGCACTTGGTGATGTAAGGCTTGGATGCAGCTGCTTGGCCATGGAAACTAATTCCATGAAGCTCTCTAAGCACTGTAGTTATGCTGAAGGCCACACGAAGTTTGGAGGTCTTTAGGTATTGACTCTGCAGACAGTTGGTGACTTCTGTGCACTGTGTGCTTCAGCATGCGCTGACCCCGCTCTGTCATTTTACGTGGCCTACCACTTCGTGCCTGAGTTGCTGTTGTTCCCAGTTGCTTCCACTTTGTTATAATATTTAGTAACAAGGAGTTTTCAAGGATGGACTTATTGCACAGATGGCAACCTATCAAGGTACCACGCTTGAATTCACCGAGCTCCTGAGAGCGACCCCATTCTTTCACAAATGTTTGTAGAAGGAGTCTGCATGCCTAGGTGCTTGATTTTATACACCTGTGGAGGTGATTGGAACACCTGAATTCAATTATTTGGAGGGGTGTTCCAATACTTTTGGCAATATAGTGTATTTTGGACATTGATGTTTTATTTTAAAAAGTCAAAATTAAAGTGAGGCTGTAGGAACAGAAATATTATTGCCAACTTGTTTTAAAAGGTACCAAGACTATTGGTTTTATTACATAGAGTCATTGACCTGGAAAAAGTTTGTAGTTGGTGAAGCGTACTTCTTACAGGTCAGTGTGTGAACCCCAGCAAAGAGTGACAGATGTGGAGACTGCATCTTTCTAAAAGGACAACAAAAGTGGCTTTCATAGTGCTACCTTCATGTTCTTTTTTTACATTAAAGTCTACATATTTCAATTGCTTCCTATTTCTAAATGGGCTAGCAGATTGTCAGTTAAAGCAGTGATGTATAGAAGGATGATTAGAAGAAAAAACAGCACAGTAATTAATTGGGTATAGTGTATGTTTAATGAGAGCTAAATAGTTCAGTTGAAATTTTAACTGATTACTTTACAATACTGTCTATAACACACTAGATTTTACTCAAACAATCCACAGCAAATTCAAAAAAGGTTTCTCTAGATTGACTTTCCTCTTATTATTGTGATATTGTCCTTCTGAGTTCATATTCATGTTTTTTATATTCCTTTCTACTGCCATAATATGCTTTCCTATTGTTTTCTAGACTTGTTTACTTGCATCAACATTCTTAGAACAACATTCAAGGAACGTAAACAACTTAACATTAAAACAATTGTCAAGCTTCTCTAGATTCATTCAGGTAAGGCTCATGTTTTCTTTGACATGTAATTGAGTGAAATGCCCTGTGCAGCACATATCATACTATGTTCACAATTTCATGGCTATCCGTCTGTTTTGTTGAATTTTGTATATGTACAACTATGTGACATTATACCTTTTGCTGGTGTTAAGGTCAAGCATGAAAAACACGCAATTGCTGGTCTATAGGAAAATGGAAACACAAATTAGCAAAGCAGGCCACGTACAGATGCAAGATCTTTTCTCTGGTGACCCTTAGCCAAGGAAACTCATAAAATCATAAAGGAAAAGTAATATACATTGTGCAAGTTGTAACTACAGTGTATCAATGTGTTTTGTGTTACAAGAGTGAAAGTATAAAACCAAGGGCAGACTGACAACTCATGGGGCTCCCGGGCAATAGGGGAACGTGGGGCCCCTGTGTCCTTGCCCACACTCATAAAAAGCCTATAAAAAGGTACCAGGGGCATTTTATGGGGCCCCCTACTGACCCCGGGCCCTCGGGCAGTGCCGCCCCTGTATATAACTAACTATGGAAAAAAGCCACTTGCAAGAAACACATTTATGCTGAATAATTGTATCAAAAGCCAAATGATAATAATGCAATTTAGTAAGAGTTTGACTATTTGTGCAAAATGGGAGCCATGATCAGATAAGCATCCAGGACTGGGAATTCAGTAAGGCAGAATAGAAAACTGAGGGTGATCCCTGAGCAATGTGAGATACAGGGAAGTTGATAACCCAGTATTTGATCATTCCTATGCATTTAATGTATTTCTTTTGACAATGGAGCCTTCAATTGATGGTTGGAGTATTCATGTAGTTTTGGGTAGAGTGGACACAAAGAAAAAAGTGGAACCCTTAGGAAAATAAATGCGCTGGAAGAAGGGAGGATTTTCTATTTAAGAGACTTGCATTTAGAAAAGGACTTTTGGTGGGTTTTTTTTTCTTTAGGAAGAGCATGGAGTTGATATATACAGTATAATAACCCAGGCAGACATAATAATAAATACCTACTCTTTTTTCTCCTTTAGACTAAAGTCTACTTAAAATTATATTTAACTTTTGGACATATGCACTAGGTTTTTCCCAACTTCTTAAGTCTTTCAATGACACCAAAAACAATACTTCTGCTCCTGCATTCCCAGATCTAATGTTCTGTTTTGCTCAGTAGGAGACAAAATCACTCTACCTGGTGGATTTTTAATGTATTATACATTACAGAAAAGCAACAGGAGGAATACAATTCCCCAATGTTGGAGGAGGCCAGCAGGACTAGGTAAGGAGATCTCATCACTGCACAAACAGATATAGTGTACAAATGTAGTGCGTGATTCAACCCACTAACATAACATATAAAAAAGTCAATATCAAAAACACTTGCTCTTTTCCTTTAAGTTCTTTTTTAGCATATAACCCATTTTATACACTCTAATCAATGTTTTATTTGTGTTCATGCAATTTACATGTATGGCCAATTATTTATAATACAATGCAAAAGTTTTCAGCAGGTGTTAAAAAATACTGTAAATTTACGAATACTTTCAGAAATAAAAGTGTTAATAGTTTGTTTTTATCAATTAACAAAATGGTAAATGAAGAGATGAAAAAATCCAAATTCACCCTTTCCATCAAAACAGCATCAATTAATCTAGGTAAAACTTGTGCACAGTTTTTGAAGGAACTCGGCAGATAGGTTGTTCCAAGCATCTTGGAGAACTAATTACAGATTATCTGTGGATGTAGACTACTTCACATCCTTCTGTCTCTTCATGTAATCCCAGACAGACTTGATGATGCTGAGATTAGGGTTCTGTGCGGGCCAAATAATCACTTCCAGAACTTCTTGTTCTTCTTTAACCGCTTCCCAACTGCCCTATAGCAGAACTACTGCTACTGGGCGGCAGGGCTGCGCAAAATCATGTATATATACATGGTCTTGCATTTCCTGGTAGGGGCCTGCGTGCCATTGATGGCTACAGCTGTCAATCACCGGGTTGCGGCCGGAGAATCCCTACTGGCACCCAGAGATCACCGAGGAACACTGAAAGGGGAGAGGTCTGTATGTAAAAAATACAGATCTCTCCCCTGTCAGCACCAGCATGCTGCTTTGCATTGCTCTGCATGACAGAGCAATACAAAGTAGCATGCTTACATAGTAAAACACACACAGGCCACATAGTAAAACAGCACACAGTACACAGTTAAACCTTTGATCGCCCCAGATGTTAACCTTCCTGCACAGTGTCATTAGTACAGTGTCAGTGCTTTTTATTAGCACTGATCACTGTATTAGTGTCATTGGGATGTCAGTGGCAGTTAGTCAGTTCCCACCCAGTGCCAGAATGCCCGCCACAGTCCCACAGTCCTGTTATAAGTCATTGATCAACACCATTACTAATATAAAACTTAAAGAAAATAAATTCCAGTATATATACCACCATTTGTAGACGCTATAACTTTTACGTAAACCAATTCCTTTACACGTATTGGGATTTTTTTTTTAATAAAGACATGTAGCAGAATACATTTTAGCCTACATTTATGCTGAAATTTGATTTTTTTTTTTTTTTTTTATTTTTTTACTGGATATGTTTTACAGCAAAAAGTAAAAAATATTGTTTTGTTTTTTCAAAATTGTCAATTTTTTTTTTATAGCACAAAAAAAATTAAAATGCACAGGTGATCAAATACCACCAAAAGAAAACTATTTGTGGGAAACAAATGAAATAAATTTTTGTTTATGTACAATGCTGCATGGCCGAGCAATTGTCAGTTAAAGTAAAGCAGTGCTGTATCGCAACAAATGGCCTGGTCAGGAAGGGGGGTAAATACATTGGAGGGCAAGTGGTTAAAAGAGATTGAACAGCACATACTGAAACCCCAGTCTTTGAAATCTTTGCACAGCATAGATCTTGCTGATGCAGAATAACTACCTTGTGTCTTATTGCTGTGCTCAGTCTTGCCATGGTGTATGACTTGTGACATGAAACTGTCTTCCACAACCCCACCTTAGTAGCAGAGTTTGGCTGTTCCTCACCCAGTTTTAAGCCTCCTAAACAGTTGTTTCTGTTTCAGTTCATGACTATTTTTCAACCTACAGTATGAAATTGATGATTATGCCATCTTACAAAAGGTTAGCTGACAGCTAACTAACAAAACTGACAAAAGCAGTGCTGTGTTTCATTCTAAAACAGAATTTAGTTCTGCGACTAGGTCTGTGAAACTGCAATACAATCACATAAACTGAAAGTACAATATGTTTGTGTACAAGTCTCTCACAAATACATACAACAAAGACATTTCTTACAAACAGCTACCTACAAATCACATTAAATATATTGAAATGCGATCTAGCTATGTATGTGACTTTAACAAACACAATGGATAAACTTACAGGCATATGTGTATCAAGGGAGGAAGGAACCTGTAACTGGTGTGTCCTTCTGGAAGCTAAACTGGAACTGAACTAATGTATGAGTGAAACTTCCAGTTTCCAGTTTCCAGTTTCAGGATTTCAATAGAGTGCAGTGGTTTATGGGAAATCTTTATTTTTAACAAACATGAACACTTCCTGTTCTTGTTAAAAGGGAATAATAAAACAGGTGCAGTTACATTGAATACTCAATAGATGGCTCCCTACTCAACACAATGAGGATATACGAAATACAGAACAATGATCATTAGCATCTGTTTGGCATAATTTTTTAATTACACACCTGCCTCTAATCCTACAAAATATCTGACTTTGTGCAAGTGTATAAAATGTGCAATGTAAGAATTTATGATGGTTTGAACCCAAAGGGTAGTCTCACTTTGCATTTTGTACGTTGATAAAAATAAACAATAAATATATGTTTTTGAAAGCATTTTTACTTTATTTATTATTATTATTGTTATTATTAGTATTATTATTAGTAGTAGTATTCAGGGGCGGACTGACCATTTGGGAACTTGGGTCCTGGGTCAGTAGGGGGCCCCATGAGATGCCCCTGGTACCTTTTCATAGGCTTTTTTGGGTGTGGTTTGATTGTGGGCAAGGACACAGGGGCCCCATGATCCCCTATTGCCCGGGGGCCCCATGAGTTGTCAGTCCACCCCTGGTAGTAATCATATTATTATTAATACATAGTATTACGTTTTCTACTTTCACTTTATAGCACTGGCCTATTGTAATGGTCTGTACTGAAAGCATTCTAGATAAATATGTAATTAGTAAACCTAAGATCCTTACAAACATTTGCATATTCCCCACTGAGCAAAAGTAAAATTCTATTACAGGATAATAAAGAAGGAAAAATGTAGAATCAGTACAGAGTGACCTAAAAACAAGATCAGCAAAAGATACTTTTGGCACTTCAAAATTTTTATGTTTGTTCATTATCAGGGGGATTAATTAAACATAAATCTGCTTATACTGATTGTATATTTATAGAATTGTTTAAATAAACTGAATCATCTCATTTGTTTCCCTAACAGATGTTTGGAAATGTTGAGTCACAAAGATTCATATTCAAATGTGCTGATATTTATTTTATGTTCTGAGCACTGATTAAATAATTTAAAAAATGTGCCTATGCTAATTAATGTAGAGACGACAATTAGCATTGTGAGATACAAATGAAGATATATAGTAGTTATTGAAGCAACTTTTTGCAACCAAATCAGCAACCATAGATACTATAGACGTCATGTGTGAAAAATAAAGAATTTAATTTGTTGCCCAAATAAACCAATTAGAGTTTAATTTTTGTATTCCTGGTGGTTTAAAGGATGAATCTGATATAAACAAGCTTATACTTTAAATATTTTTCCTGTTAAATATTCACTGCAGTCAAGCTGATAAAGTAAGGGTAGAAAGACTAGAATTGCAGTGAGTCACCAACTCTTAACTCCAATCAGAACAATTTTGGATAGATTAGGGTAATTGACCATTGGGTTGATTGCCAAAAACTGGAGAGTGCAAAATCGGGTGCAGCTCTGCACAGAAACCAATCAGATTTCAGGTTTTTGTCATAGCTTAATTGAACAAGCTGAAGTTAGAAGCTGATTGGCTACCATGCACAGGTACACCAGATTTTGCATTCTCTAGTTTTAGTAAATCAACCTCCATGTCTACTTATTGCTGTTTGTATTCCCTTCGGAAACAGAAGTTTTATTTCCATGGTAAAACTGTCACCATCAAAGTGTCAAATACCTGGATAGTGAGCCTGAGGTGAAGAGGCAGGCCTCCCATACAACTCCAGCTCAAGGGCTGCTGATAGTGGAACAGCGGACACAGGAGCACAGTGGGGTATGAATGCCTGTGATCAGTCCAGCAGGTGATGTTCCAGCAGTAGCTGGTAGGTAGATGAAGTCGCAGGGCAGGCTGAAGACAGAGAGCATGATTCGGGTGCAGCCGTGCAAGATGGATGGATCACTGCGGAGCAAGGTGGAGGATGCAGGGTCAGACGAGCCGGGTTTGTAGCAGTCGGGCAATTCAAGCATAGACGGCAGGAGGAAGCGTAGTCAGGTCACGGGCCAGGTCAGCAGCGGAGGATCGATCAGAGAGGAATAGGAGACAGAAGGGTAATCCAAGACAAGCCAGAGGTCAGGGCAAGTAGCAGACAAGCGGAGGTCAGGAACAAGCTGGTTCAGTATCAGGAGTCAAGCACAAGGATCAGGAAACACAAGCAGGGATTAAGACCAAACGGCAATGAGACATTACTTCAGCCAGTTTAAACAGTCCATTTGGCACCCGCATTAGTGACAGGCGCATGCCTGCATGAGCGAGTGCGCATGCGCATGCCTATGCCCAAGTACCTGCACATCTGCCCCTGCGCATGTGCATATTTGTGCGCTGCGAATCTTCACCTGTGCTATGGGCTGGCTTTTTCTGACACAAAGAAAATAGTGGGATACAAAATTGTATAATTTTCACCTGAACAAGAGTAGAGGGGATAACTTCCAGTGGGGATACTTGTTAATGTCAAAATGTACTTTTCTTGCTGTGTGTCTGGAGATAAGATGTGCAGGCAAATCTGCCTGACAGGAACATGAAGAGCTATTAAAACAACTCACTATCCAAAACAAACAAAACATTTTTTTGGCAAATTTTAAAGGATTTGGTCAATTCCATTGCAAAATGTGGTTGACTAACTTCAGGAGCAGAATGTTTGCTAAGCCTGGTTAAGCTGTTTTTATTTTTAAATATCAATTCATATGTAAAGTAATTAAAAGATAGAAGAGTCCTTTCCTAAGGTTTGAATTGGATGCTTTCTTCATTTAGTAAATTAGCCCAAACATTAAAAAATCTACTCTCTCAGTAGCAGTAATGAAGTCTGTAAAAAAAAATAAAATTCCATGCCGCAATGCTAATTATAGAAATGTCTTTTTGCACTAAGTTATCACTTACACTTATCGTGAAGATGTGGCTACTAAATGCCACACAATGTACTGTTTAGTGTTTAAATCTTATCAGTTTGGTTGCCCTTTTCTGCCTGTTCTCCACTTTTCTGATATCCTTTTTGTGAACTGGTGCCCAAACTGAACTGCATAATCCAGATGAGGTCTTATAATGATTTATACAGGGGCAAAATGATGTGCCTCTCATTGGAGTCTATACCCCTTTTGATACAAGTATTTTCCTCGCTTTAGAAACTGCAGTTTGGCATTCCATGCTAATATTAAGTTTATGATCTACCAGAAAACACAGATCCTTCTCCACCATTGACTCCTCACCTGTTCTCCTCCTAGTAGTATGATTCATGCATGTTTTTAGCCCCCAAGTGCAAAACTTTACATGTATCAACATTAAACCTCATTTGCCACATAGTGATAATTGCCACATAAATAATGCATTGAGCCCAGCTTGTAAGTTGGAGACATCCTATAAGGACGTTATTCCACTGAATAACTTGGTGTCATCTGCAAACACTAAATTGGTACATTTAATCCCAGTGCCTATATCATTTGCAAATATGATAAAAAGTAATGGTCCCAATGCTGGTATACCTTTAATAACATTAGACCATTCAGAGTATGAATCATTAATCACTATTCTCTTAATATGGTCTTTTATCCAGTTTTCTATCCATGTACTAGATATGTGCATGCCGGAAAATTTTGCTTAGTTTCAGAAGCATTCTTTAAGTTGATAATTTTCTTTATTTGTTTTCGTGTTGGTTTATTTAGTTTATTTTCGGGGTTTGTTTCATTTCTTCGGGATCATTTCATATACTTGTTATACATGGAGGACTTGAAAAGTTTTCTAATCCACCTGGTATAACGTCTGATGGATCCAAATTCACTGTGAATAGCTATGGTTGATAACGAGCGTGCAGCCACCGTGTCCTTTTCAACCATGACTCATCAGCTGTCAGAGGAATTTTCCACTGACAGCAGCA